CGGAAGCGCTAACATTTAACTTTTCGTTAGTTTTACGTGATCGCACTTTTAATTCTTCTCACAGAAGTCTCAAGTATATATATCCCGAGAAAAATATTTTTTAAGAGCAAGACGACTCATTGTGTGTCAGTTAACATTTTTTTTATCTGAAAACTCGGACTTTCATCCTTTACAACCAAACGGTATCAAAGAAGAGATGGTGAAACCGCACTTTGAAATAACATAGAAGTCGCGGTTAATCCGGTGACCGCAACGGGATAGTTGACGGGCGCGAAATAGTTCTTCGAATTCTGTGAGTCGTAAAATTTTCAGTGAGGACCTCCGTGGCAAAATCCGCTGCTGTGGCCCATAAATCACGGCCTGTTTTCCGCGGGATGGGTGGTTAAGACCGGTGTTTAAGGTCGCTTTATGAATGGCCATACGGCGAGGCGGAACGTATATCTCGTGCCGAGCGGCCGTACGTTTTGCGCGAGCATCCCGGCGGGGCGGGAGGGTGGTTGTTCCACTTTCGTACAAACGAAAGGGTAGACGATAACGATGGCTACCGCGGCGCCCGTTCGTCTGCCGCCCCTGGTCGATGCCTTCTTCCACCGCTCGCTCCCCGTCTCTTCACTACATTATCCGGAAAGTTGCCAGTACCGGTATCGCGATATTCCCGGTCGGTCGTGATTCATCCCGCTTAGTAATAGCGCAATTCCGCGCGAACTGCTCGCGGACTTGCGAACTTTGGTTCGGCGTTCGTGCGAATCGCGTGCGAATAACGAGGGGAGAGTTTTAAACCCGGGCACACACCCTCTCTGGTCTTTATCTACGATAATAATTAGAGCTTTCGTTTCGCGCGAAACGTATGCATGCGAATTTGTTTATCATGCGCGTCCATTAAATATATCGGATTAATTGAAATGTACGTTTGAGACAATTTTAATCATTTGTGTCTCAATCGCGATTAAAAATTATAAAGAATTTAATTTTTTCTTGTACTTGATTATTTTTGTATGTCTTTTGCAAATTTTTATGTGTTTGGCACAATTATAATACTATGAAATTGTTTAAATTATTACATAGTATTTACAAAAATTAAATAAATGTGTCCATTTCGGTGATTTTATGGAATTAATTGACATAAAACAGTAATGACATATGACAAAAAAGCAACGGCGTAGGATAAAGAAAAAATTTACGAACGTTAACTGTAATCATACGTCGCGTTTAAATGCATTTCCGTTTCGATGTTACAATACGCGCAAATATCACGATGTATTGACAGGCGGAAATGTATTGCTAATATTTACACTTGCCGCGCTAACCAATTTGATATATGTCAGATCGAAATCGAAACAGTATTTAATATCGATAATTGAAACTTTCAGATTTTACGATTATATTATGGGAAATATGTGCGTGTATGTATGTATGTATGTGTAGACACATATATATTTTGCAAATATCAATACAGATATTAAATCGAAATTTATTTTATATAATGTATTACACAATTATTAACAAATATTTAGTAGGAAATTATTATATGTGTGTGCAATGTATGTCATACAATTTTTAAATATATGATAGTGATAAGTCATTGATTAAGATCAAAATTAAAGGGCAGTCTAATACAAATTACATAGCGATATTAGAACAATTTTTATAACAAATTCTAATATTAATTTTTATTTGAAAAAAAGTTTTGTAGATATACGATGTGAAGATTGACATGACTTGAATATCTATCTTAATTGCTCTGTTAAATCCTGGTAATGCAACGTCATTCGTTTGTATTTACGATACATTTGATGCAATTCAGATTGATTGTTCGGTCCGTGAACTAGAAAATTATGCAGTTTCGATTTCGTGCGATGCCATTTCAGATACGAGCATTTTCCATGACACAAGGGTGCGATCTGAAAAGCGAGAGAAATGGACTTTTCTCTCTTACAATAATCCACGTGATTTTTCCACGTGATACTGTGCACGTGCATAGCTAACGCGTATTTCGCATTTTGATCTTAATCAACATTTTTTTTTTTTTTTTAACAGAAATATCCATTTTTTGAAGTATATTTTTTTGTGCAAACTTTTTATATTAATGCTATGTGTAAACCTGCAAGTTCTGCTGTCTATCGTGCTACTATTTTGTTCCTCATCTATCTACAAAGAAACAGATTCGCAAATGATACAAATGATAGCGCGCTTCGTCGCGAGGGTACCGGGAAGAACTCTGAATTACGGTGTAATATCATGAGCAAATTCCGGTCATGCGCTATATAAATGACATTATACATGTCTGCTCTCCCCCAAGTAATTTTCACGACAACGGTGACGCACGCGGAATCCCCGCGATCTCATAAGCCACGAGTATTATGCCGCTTGCTCTAACAAATACTCTCAAAGGATTTCCCTGTGATAATTTCGTCGTGTTTACCGTCCGTGATGCCGGCATGATCTTCGATTTTCCGCGAGAGATACAGCGTCGGTCCCCGAGTCGCTACGCCGCTGCGCGATGCCGCGAATTCCGATCCAGAATTTCAGGGACGCCGAAGTTTGGTGGGAATTTCTCGCGACATAATCTCGAGTCGCACGAGATGTAATCTCGTACGACGGGAATCCGTGCGTAGGCGATCGGATTAACGAGCGAGATGTTTTCTCTGTGCGTGTTTCACCTCTGATACGCCTTGCTTGGCTCGATGAAGGAAATATGTGTCTGTGTATCCAGGAACGTAGTTCTGATGCATTGTCTCGTATCTTCCTCGATATATAACATAGTCCTTCCATTGTTTCACAGCATATTCTTATATATATTGACGACAAAATATTATTTTGAAATATTTCTCGATTAATTGTACGTATATATTTTTGTCAGATTGTCAGATTATTCCATTAATGAAAATTAAAATCATATTAAATTTTAATTTCAAAATTGAAGAAAACTTACACTTTTATATAATAAAAAATAGTATTTAAATTACATCTTCTTTCTTTTAAATATCCTTTCTTTTAAATATATATATTTTTTTTCATTTATAATATTAAATAAATCAATCATAAATCACACAGTCAATCATAAGCAGTCAATCATAACCTGTCATATATCTTAACTTTTTAAATTATTAAGAACTTTTAATTTATAACATGAAAATAAAGCCGAATTTATTTATTGGATGATTTCGTAAAAACTGTCATATCTCTGCCATTTATCACTGCCGGGTGCATCGGACGCTTATCACAGCGTTGTCGCCGTGAGATCACTCGATGCATTCACACCCGCGCCAAGCCTGACGTCATGCATCGCGTCGAGTGATGGTCGGCTCCATGGGAATGCCTCCCCACCCATTGGATCACTTCCGGTTTTCTGTCTGTCACACTCCATTTGCGCCGTTTCAGTGACGCATTGTCGATGTCCGCGACCGAATGTGTTCGCGTATCCTCTCTAAGAAAATTCTCTGAAATTCCGCAATCTGTGTGACATTTCTCATCGAAAGATCCACATCGTCTATCACGAATATCTTGTCTAATATATGCATGAGAAAATGGTGCGTGAATTTAACTGTTTGGATGCGGAGTGTATTGTTGGGAAGATACATCAGATGATAATTGAAGATATTTTTTTTTTTCAATTTAAGGAACTTCTCTCTGAATTTTATTAGAGATGAGTAACGTGCAAACAACATATATTTATTAGTAAAAAAGATTAAATCTACGTTACTATAATTGAATTGATAAACTTAGCTTAATTTAGGTAAAAAAACCAAGCCAATTAAATCGAATCTCTGTCAGTTAGATTGTTTAAACGCCTTCGCTTTTGAACACCCGTTATCTCCATTATCTCGACATACCGCGGCACCGCCTTCTCGTTACTCCATTCGATTTGTATTTCATCGAAACTTGATCTATGGGTGGGATTAATTTGCGTATATTTCACGATAATTGTGCGCATTTACCGTCTGAGAGAGACTGTATTGTTCCTCGGTTGTTTCGCGTTCGGTATTATCTTCTACCCGGTTCCTTTGTTATCGCGACTTGAAACTTGAAATTTTGTTCTCCGTCGCGACTATTATATCTTTGCGCCTCGTTCTTCTGGTTTTGATGTTCACAAAATTATATATTTAATGTCGCTTCGCGACAACTTCGACAGTGCGACGTCCTTCGCCAGGATGCGCGCACATTAACGAAACGGGTGTCCTATGATATTCACGGCGCGGAACGTCATGTTATGCATTCTGCATAACAAAGTTTAACTCCATAAAGTTCCTACTGCCAATGGAACTTTTCAAATCCCGTATATACAAAACCAGAATGCATACGTATTCTGTATGTGCACATAAATTTTTCTCAAAAAGAAACTGACTTTGACACGCAAACAGGGTTTATTTTCTTGACTGCGTCATATAGACGTGAAGATTTACGTCAGAATAAATAAATGTAATAATGAAACACTTTGCATGGTCTGCGAAGTTCACGGTAGAATGGAAGAAAAATGCGTCCTACGTACAGAGTTGCACTTTATAGCGTATCGATTCATTTTCTAAAAAAAAATTAACTGATGTGAGCAGATTTACGTCGATTTGAAAAGCACAAGAAAGTTCTCGAATTATTTGACATTTAAAATTATGAAAGTAACATATTTTATTATTAATATATTTGTAATATCGATTAGTTTTAATTATTTTTTTAGAAAATTTTACGATGACATTTTGAAGGCCTTTTAATCTTTTGCTACATAATTATTCTTGCTGTAGCAATCTTAACTCATTTAGTTAAATACAATCGGTGACTTGCTTCCTTAGATGTAAAAAAAACTCTCGCTCGACTCTTGTAAAGCTCAGTCCACCGACTTTTTCATCGTGAAAAGTCGCGAAACACTCCTCTTCGCACTGGCGTCTCGTCCCATTTCTTACTCCGTTAACCTTTGAAACTCGCCGCAAGTTTCGCAATTAATTCCCCGATCCTCGAGGACGTTCCATCTCCGCTCGTATTAATCGAAGCCACTGCGCGGTTTGCAGATAGTCGACATCGAGGCGGCGCCAAGGTCACGAGGGAGGAGCTGAGGTCATCGCGGCATCTATGTTGTGCGGCGAACTCCTGAACGGTGGCTTCGTCAGTGCCGGAGCGGTACCGGTGGTTCCCTACAGTCTCCCAGGAGTCTGGTTACCCGGTTGCCTGCGTGCTACCAGTCCACGCCTATTGACCTCACCTTATCTGACCCTGCTGGCCGAGCTTCTGGCCGCGGGCCGCCTCGAGCTGCGAGACGATCTTCTGGAGTTGATGGATCTGGCAAAGAGGAGCCATCAGGCTCCGACCGACAACAACGGAGCACCCGAGCTCGACCTTGATCTTCACGCCGACGACATCGACGAGATCTTCTTGGGTGAGTACCTATATTTATTCAAAAAATGCCTCTAAAGAGGCTATGACTTGATAATATCAAGTTGATGATATAATTCGATAAGACAGTCGGTCAAAGAAATGATTAAGCGCGGATTGTTTGATATGTTTCAACGTCCCGGATGTCGAAATTGTAACGCGATTTAGAACAGCGAACACGCCCATTGCATTATTACTTGAGTCGGAGGTCTGGTCGACTGAAAGGATCGGAGGTCGCACATATAATGCGGCTGACGCGTGTCGTGGGTGTACACGACG